TTATCAGCAGCACGTGATATTATAACATAACCAAAGTAAAGCGCGTGCTCTGATTGGTCAATTTAGCGTCCCCCATTTGCCCATGGGTGTACGCTGCTGACGTGAGGAAATGCAAATACTATTTTTCAGCGCGCGCTTGTTTTTTTCTGGTCGCGTAAGATTTGTTAAATAAAAGGGAACTCTTTAGCTACAATGTATCAATGTTATGTTATAAAACAAATGGTAAACACCACAGCGTACACTGTTGAGTTATAGATGCACTTGGGAGGTTTGCTAAGCACTAAAGAAGCTAGAGTCGCTCTCGGCTATCGCCTCGAGCGACTGTTACGCTTCTCTCGTGCTTAGCAACCTCCCGCGTGCATCCATAACTCGATAGTGTACGCTGTGGTGTTTACCATTTGTTAAAAATTTGTGAATTCAAGATTTACGATTCTCTATTAAGCACCGGTTACCGTAATTATTCCGAATATTGCTGTACATAGCAAGCATCATCTGGCCCCAGTTGTTCGAAAGTTGGATGACACTATCCAGTGAAGAAATCTTTATCCATTGGATAGCGTAGTCTACGCTCTATACAACTGGGCCCTGATTGGTAAGTCTGCTCTCAAGATCTGTGTTATATCAGGCTATGAACTTGCCATGATGACTAGAGTAAAGAGAGTCAATTCATATGACTGTAAATACACTTACATGTATACTATGGGCTAAACTTGAACAAAGATTTTCAGCTCCTAATTTACAACTCTCAAAATGTTTGGAATAAAATTTTATCTTTTCTAGATGATTGATATAATTGCCAAATGCGATATGATTGAGCTGAAAGCTCCCTTTGTAATAGCGCGAAAAAACCTTGCACATCAAGAAACTGGTGGCTATTAACCAAAATGCGATTCGGTCCCTTCTTAAACGGCGTTAAAAAAGGGACCGAGTTTCAATAACTTGAAGCTTTTTTCATGATTCTCCCGACACCCTACGTGGTTTATAACGGGAAAATGAGCTCCTGTAATCACACAATAATTAAATAAAGCTGATTTAGTATCAAAAGGGGGAAAAGGAGAAAAAGGAGAACTGGTATAATGAAAGAAAAAGAAAAGGGAAGTAGTGATCGCAAATAATTTGGCGATGTTCTTTCTTACCTGAAATACCGATACAATCAGCGAAAAACAGTAACAAAACCCGAAAAAGGAAAGCAAACAAACAACAGACAAACTCGGGAAATTCGAACCCAAACCCAAGGGAACTCTGGGGAGTTACTAATGGGCACCCGTTCTTGAACAGATGTGCTTGATGTTCATATTTAGCAAGACATAAGCAAGTGTCTTTTGTGCCTAGGTAACTCCATTATCAGGTACATGTCTTTCTTGAAACTTTGATACATTTTTTTCGGAATGATATTAACTAACATTACTTACCTTTGCTCTCAGTTTCTCGAGTTGCCCGGAAAACTGAAATAAAAGAGGCGCTCGGTGAAGTTTAAAGATTAACCAAAGGTGTTAAAGTATTGAAAATGGCTGAAGTTACTCCTGTGTTAAAGTCTGGCAACCCCGAAGATCCCTGTTATCACCGGCCCATCTCATTACTGCCAATACTATCTAAGGTGTCTGAGAAATTAGCTCACCGTCAGTTCGTTGATTACATAACCACCAACAAGAAGCCATCTAAAAATCAGAGCGGTAATCGAAAATGTCACTCGACGGAAACTGCTCTCTTACACGTAACAGATGATTTTCTCATGGCTATTGATGAGAGTGAAGTGTCCGTTGTCGTGCTACTAGACATGTCTAAGGCATTCGACAGTATCAGACATAATATTCTCCTTCAGAAGTTACAGAGTATAGGTGTTGCCTCTTCGAGCTTGGAGTGGTTTCATTATTACCTGTCTGGTTGTAGCCAGAGAGCGCGCATTGGGGTTGCTATCTCAGACCCGCTCCCTTTAAAATACGGAGTTCCTCAGGGTTCTATCTTGGGGCCCGTGTTATTTACCATCTATGTAAACGATCTCTTGTCCCTTCCAACTCACTGCAAGTCTGTGTGCTACGTCGATGACTGTAAATTGTACCTATCCTTTCGCTCAACTGACATCGCTCGCGTATTTGGCTATCTGAACGAAGACCTCAGTGAAATCTGCCGATGGTGCTGTCAGAATTCCTTCTAATAAACCCAGCTAAAACTAAAATCTTACTAGTTGGTGTTCCTCAACTACTGCGAAAATTGCCTCCTACGTCAATTTCACTCTTGGGAAAGGAAATAACACGAGTCCCTGTAGCAAAGGACTTTGGAGTCTACATCGACCAGTCCTTAACATACAACGATCATACTGCTAAAACTACTTCTAACTGTATTTTCAAACTGATACAGATCAGCAAGATCAAACACCTTTTGGACAGGAAAACTCTCTTACTTTTGATAAACGCTTTTGTTTTTAGTACGATGTATTATTGTTCAACTGTATGGGCCAACACATGTCAAAGAAATATAAAGAA